CAAATGAATTCCTTACATCTTAAGCCAAAGGGAGGAAAAGACCTTTACCCTTAGTTTCCTGCAGGCTTTTAAATAGACAAACAATTGGATCCAGGGGACCTCTGCAAGTAACCCAATGTGCCCGGTGTCTCACGTCCAAAGCTGGTAGTGTTGGGCAGGTCTTAAATGTGACTCTAGTACTCGCTTCTCCCTCCAGGGGTAGGTTTCTTGGTCACTAGAAATAGAACAATCTGGAAAGACATACTGTAAACCAACCTTGACATCTCTTCCCTGCTCTCTCCTGGATTAGGCACCAGACTCCATAGATGTTTGTAGATTTCTTGAGCACTTCTATCTAAATCTGGATGACAAAGACCTCCTCCTCTACCTCCTCTTCTTTCTTTTTAAATGTTTTTAGTACAGGGTTTACAGGGTCTCACTACACAGATAGGACTCAAAGTGATTCTCCTGTTTTCAGCCTCCCAAGCACTAGGATCACAAGCACACTGCCATGCTGAATTCTTAGTTGCCATCTCAGCACACCCCGGGGGCAGGGGCGACAAGGTACACCGGGAATCGAACTCTGGTCCCTGCGTTTGCCTAAGCAAGTGCTTTAGTCTGCTGAACTATCTGACTGGCCCCTCCTCCTTCTTCTTAAGACACTCACACTCCAGAGCCCTTTTTATTAGATGTCCATTCATTTAACACATGCTTTTATTAAGTGCCTACTACATATGAAGTGCTGCACTCTGGAGGATTTGAATATCTGACACCCTAGCTGTTTAATACCCCAACCCTTGCCTTCTTCCGGACTGCCTCTGCTATGATAAGATTTCTTATCCAGGGTGGCTGAGAGGATGCCAGTGTGGGTCTGTGTGAGCCTAACTGACCTCTGGTAAGTGAGCAGTCCAATCCAAGAGTGACTGGTGTTTACAACTTCTGTTGAGAAGGCCATGGAAATCTGCTGCCCTCTGTGTATGCAGCACCCAGAGGTTATCTTACCTCACCCAGCAGTGGCTCCCAGCCACATCCTTTCCCAAGGTCCCTGGCCCTTACTCAGGCTCACAGCCTTCTCACCCCCATGGTCAGCGCTGACCGGTCTCCAGCATCACGCGTAGGAGGTGATGTTGGGATGGCGCCAGAGGGAGGCAGCAGGCTCTGCACAGTTACATGCACCTTCAGCAAAGGTCCTCTCTGCAAAAGCCAGGCAGTCTGATGCTTCACCAGGATGTCAGCCAACTGTCATGGGAGGCAAATACCATTTAGCAGTATTGTACACGAAAAGGCCTGAAAACCAGAGAGTATAGTTCAGTTTTATTTTTTAAAAGACCTATTAGAATAATCACTCAGAATAAGCACTGTTGAACACATCACAAATACTACCCAAAGTAGGTTCCCTTAGTAAGCCCCTTTGCAGATAGTCAGGAGGTAGGAATGGAGAGGAAGAAATGGTAGGGTCCAGCTCACCCCAGCCCTTTATGCAGGGCTGCAGCACAGCTGAGAATAAGCAGATGGCCTCTTGTAAACTTTGGCCTTGCTAACTCACTGCCAAGTCTAAACAAACCCTCTTGGCTAGGACAGACTTTATTCCAAAGGATTATTGCAGGGGTGCATGGGCTGCAGAGGGACTACAGTAACAGAGGAATGCTCTGACCACATGACCTGCAAGGATCTCGAGGATTAGGCAAAACACTTAGGTTCCTATGAGAAAAAGTAAACAAAGCTAGGAAGAACTGGATGTCGGGATGTGGGATGAGCAGGGCTAGCAGGATCAGACAGGTGGGACCCCAGGCACACACAACCTCAGGAGGGGCTATAAAGGAGGGGTGGGCTGTGCTCAAGCGGGCCTGGACCTGAGAAAGGAGGGAAACCTTACCAAAGCTAGGCCAGAGGAGGTTGTGATGCATTTGCAGGCAGTAACAAGCCTTTTGGTGAATCTCTTAGGAGGAGGAATGTGGAGCTCAGCATCTGGCCTCGTGCTAGGTGAACAAGATGTGAGTCCACCTAAAGCCTGTGAGGAAAGGGGATTCTCTGTGGAAAGTGCCACCCAGAACACAAACAGCAGGGAGATTTTGTGACCATTGCTATTTTCCAGGATCACAGGGCTTGGGCAGAGTCTGCTGAGCGTGTATGTGGAGCCCACTGTACACCAGACTCTTCCTAGAAACTTCCCTAAGACAGGCAGGTCCTAGACTCGGGAAGCTCATCGAAGACCTTGCATGATGTCTACGAGGTCATTCTCGGAGAAAATGGGGTTGCGATCAGAATGTCTCCTCCTTGCTCTCCTTACAGTCTGTCACCCTGGCTTCTCCCATGTCTCACCATATTCCCAAGGTTCATCCATGTGGTACCATGTGCCATTACTTCGTTCCTTTTTAATCCACCAATAACTTCTACTGTGTAAATAAGCCACGTTCTGTGTGTCTGTTCCTCAGTGGTGGGCAGCTGGTTGATGGCCTTTTCTTCGCTTGTGGATAGTGCAGCTAGGACCTGTACTGTTCCATACCTAGGTCATTTGGTGACAACAGATATAATCTGTGGGGCTGCCAGGTTGTTTTCCAAAGCAGCAGCAGCAGCAGCAGCAGCAGCAGCAGCAGCAGCAGCAGCAGCAGCAGCAGCAGCAGCAACTAATTCCATCTCTACGGTAAGGGGAAAGGAGGGGTTGAGACAAGCTGCAATTCCAAGAAGAGAAAGAAGAGGTGCGAGAATGAGGGTGTGGGGTGGCTCCAGGCACACATATGAAGGAGACACCACTTAAGTTTTTTGGAAACAGTGCTGGCAACTAGCTGGAAGGCTACACTCTTGCCTCTGTGGACATCACTGGGCCTGGCATTCTGCCCTTTTTGGTGGCTTTACCTCTTGATGGCTCAGTGGTCTAAAGCACCTACTCAGAACAAGCTTAGCAAAGCACAGGGACCGCGGTTCAATCCCCCAGCACGACATGCCAGCCAGCCCCGCCCCCTGGTGGGCTGAGCTGGCCGCGCGCGCGCACACACACACACACACACACAAATAAATAAATAAAATTAAAAAAAAAAAGATGTAGCCCACGCCCCTATGTATGATGGGACACACTGTCCTTCATTCCCTGCCAGCCCAGGTGTCCACTGTCCTCCTGGGCTGTCTCGGTCCACTGGGACTGCTGTAATAGAAAGTGCAGACTGGGCAGTTTATGAAGGTCAGACTTACTACTCCCAGCTGTGCAGGCTGGGAGGTCTCAGATGGAGGCCTTGCGTCTGGGGTGTAGCCAGCATGATCTGGCTGCATCCTCACTTGGCAGCAGGCGGCGGCAAGGGCTGGGCTGCCCTCAGTAAGCCTTTGGTGCGAGCACCACATCCCATTCATGACAGGAGGAGCGCAGCATGTCCTTACGTCTACTTACAGGCCTCATCTCTTGACACCATCCCATCGACACCATCTGTGCCCTAGAAGGGTTATGTTCAAACAGCAGGGAGGGCTAAGCAACAGTGAAGATCACCAAGAATCTTGCAGTCATGGTTACACATTTCTGGGAGGGCAAAGCTGATCGATTTTGGCTCATTTGGGGACATAGCCAAGGGTTGGAGTAGCATAGGACAGCTGCAAGCCTGATGCACCTGTGATGTGGGGGCAGCTTGGCATCTGGGTGGGGGCACACGCACCAAAGCACCGTACACACCCAAGTGTTCGGCCCCAGGGCCAGATGGAAGGCTAGGGAGTGCGGAGTGTGTGCTCCTGCCCTGGATGTGGGGGCAGCTGGTGGATCCCAGGTCTGGGCGTGGGCGGCAGTGTCCATACTGTGGCAGTCAGCCTTTCTCACCTGCCGCAGTTTACAGAGAGCAGCAGATGTCCTGGCTGAGGTTTATGTGCTGCATTTCTGTCCTGAGGCAGTTTCTCTCCACGCAGAGGTAACCTGCAGGTAGCTTGCAATCACACGAGGCCTTGAGGGAGCCAGGTCTAGCCATGCCAGTGTTACTGCAGGGCACAAGGTAGGCTGCAGCCCAGAGCAGGAGACCCTCCGTGCAGCGCTGCGTCACCCACAGACCGCATGGACCCTGGTGGCAGAGCTGGCTCTCTCAGCAAGTGGGTTGTAAACTAGCTATTTTCAGGTGAACTTGCATGCTTCCTTGTGAGCCGCAGGTATGGGGAGGCAGCACTGGGGGGATACCTGACTGTAGCTCCTGACTCCTGACACAGGACATCCCTCCAGGCCCCGGGAAAAGTCCCCTGACACAGCCATGTGGAACGATTGCTCACTGGTACCACTTCAGGACGTAGAACCTGTGATGTGTTTACTCCGCTGCAGCTTAGAGGGTGATTTTCTGTCCCGACTGTTTTTCACTTTCAGGATTTCAGATAGCTATGTCTTGCAGTTTGTGGCTATAAAGTATTTTTTCCAGCCTGGGAAGAGGGAGTTCTAAGCGTCCTGACACACGTTCTGTAGAAGCGGTCTCCTTCTGCCCTCCCGCGGCGCGTAAGGATTCTACGCTGTAATTTCTCTGCTCCTTGCTCCGAGGGCCACCCTTGGAGACCCAGGCATACTGGCCCCTCCTCCCCCACTTTCATACACTTCCAGGCTCAGCCAATCACCATAGTCTTTCACAAAAGAAATTACACAAGAAAAATAAGCGTTTTCTTGTAGCCAAAGTGGAAAATGTTATAACGTGGTTGGTTTCCTGTCCACACTTTTCTTTGGGCGCTAGCCTCTCTTGGAGCGCTGGTCCCTTCAGCCTTTGCCCTCCCCCCGTGCCCACTTATCACCAACCAACTCTACTCAGCCTTCATTAGGTACATGGAGAAATTTCTCTCTGCCAAGTCCCCTATTTGGCTAACAAGGAAACACCCCAGGAACCGCTCTCTGCAGAGGTGGACAGTCGGAAGCAGCCCGCGGGGAGCGCCTGCTCATGGACGACCGGTTGCCACTCACGCTCTGGGTCCCACTCACGCTCTGGGTCCCACTCACGCTCTGGGTCCCACTCACGCTCTGGGTCCCCCTCACGCTCTGGGTCCCACTCACGCTCCCTTGCTTTCCCTTTTCGCAGGTTGTGATTCTGGATTCGGCCACGCATTGGTCAAGAAGTTGGACAAACTGGGCTTCACAGTATTTGCTGGAGTTTTAAATGAAAAGGGCCCGGGAGCCGAGGAATTGCGAAGAAACTGCTCCACGCGTATCACGGTGCTCCAGATGGACGTCACCAGCCCGGAACAGATCAAAGACGCTTACAGCAAAGTCGTAGAGAAGGTGCAGGACAAAGGTACTCCTTAGCCTGTGTCTTAGCTACTTTTCTCTCACTGCCGAGACAAAATACCTGACGCCAAAAGTTAAAGAAGGAAAGGTTTATTTAGCTCACAGTCTGAAGGTTTCAGTCTGTAATCAGTGGGCTCCAAGGAAGCCTGGCTCTTGGCAGAGGGCAGCAGTTCATGGGGGTGGAAGACGGCAAAAGCAACAGGAGCCAAAAGCGGGGCAGAGCAGGCCTCTTTCCTTCCCCTGTATTGTAAGCAGGCTATTCCCCCAGAGGGCGGGTGTCCCATGCATGCCATCTCCTGTGTCCTCTTGCACAGGATGAGGAAGTTTACAAAGACAGGAGCCTGGCCCCCTGCTGAGACACTTAATTGAACTTCTAAACTTCTCAAGCGGATGCAACATATCAACTATTACAGCCCCCTCCTCCACCTGCCCCCTCCTTTGCTCCCTGCTCTTCCTACCAATGTTCAGCTCATGTTTGACCTCTGAAGATCACGCCCTTTGTTCACCCGGGCTGCCTGCTGTACCTGGGGACAGCTCTCCTGAGCCCCTTCCACCTGCCGGAGTTTCTGTGGACACGGAGATGTTAGGAACCACTCAGATATGGGTCATGCCCTCAGAGAACCTGTGGAGTCTCCACCCTGTTCCCGCTGGCACCTTCCAGGCCACTCTCCCACCTTCCCTTCATCACGTCCCTCCTCCCTAGCCTGGCTCAGATTCGCTGAGCTTGGAGACAAACAGCTTCATTGTCTCCAGCCTCATCTCCCCACTGCCCCTCCTCTCCTCTCCAGGCTTGGATGGTCTTTGAAGCCCTGTAGCCCTGTTTTACTTATTTCTGTCCAAACGGACAGCAGCTGTCAGCAAGCCTCTCTTACTGGCCTGGCAAAATGAGTTGCTGTTGTCCTGAGGAGCAAGATCTTCTCTCGTAACATGTAAACATGTTGATCCTGCTCCCACCTTGGCTCTGGGGTCCCCAGTCCTGCTGCAGGCAGGTCGCTGATCGTGCTTTCTGCTTCCCCTTCCTCTGGATCCCTCTCAAGTGTGAGGGCTGCTGAGGCCCTCTGCCCCAGTTCCCTGACCTCATTCCTGGGGCCGGACTGCGCTCTCCCTATAACAGGTTCTCCTTCTCGCTGTGTGTGTGGGTCACCCGGCTCTGCAAAGCTCAATGCCTGGGCCCAGGACTGGATGCCTCAGCTGTGGAGCCCAGTATAAAATGCAAGCATGGGCTTCTCACTCAAGAAACAAGAGCTGAAAATGGTGATGGCAGAAGTAACCAAGTTTCTGCTCCTTGGTTCTTGGCCTTGTGTGACTGTGTAGACTCCACACTCTTAGGGCCTGCCCTGCCCAGTGCCAAAGACCATTTAAGGCAGCGTGCTTAGGTGAGAGTCTCAGGCATCAGTGGAGATGATGTTTTATCAAGGTTAGAAACACTAATTCATACCAATGACCTTCAAAGTTCTGTTGCCAACTCTGCCTTTCTTCTTGATATTGAGACTTATCCAACACCCTTTGTTACACCCTAGACCAATTTTATAGTTATATTAAATCAATAGTACATACCATATAAAATAGCTGGCCAGACATATCCACTTACATTCCAGAGGCTCAATATCAACCTGTCAAAAACTGGTCTCCTTATCCTTTCCCCTCACGCCAGACTGCAAAACACTTTGCCCTCCCATGTCCCACGGGTCAAATGCTGGAATTGCCACCTGACCATCATTCCAGACAATGGCCAGTGGGCCATTGACACTCTCAGCCTGCCCTGGATCCCTGGATCCTTTTGGCTGTGAGTTCCGTCAGGGGCGCCTCCTAGATACTGAGCTCCTGGCTTCTCCCTGCCATCTGCTAGAGGCTGTGGCTTATTCCAGGCCTTCCACATATAGTATGTGGATGCTCCAGCAGCCTCTAAGAAACCTGTCCTTCCATCCCCAGTACTTCCTAAGAGGACAAGAACCTCCCCGGTGTGTACATCTTATAATGTCATCTATCTCCTGTAGGCCCACGAGCACAGAGTTCCTCCAAGTGCTGAGGTCCTCCTCCACTCCAGACTTTTGCCTGGTGACTTGTTCTGGCTCTGTGGCTGCCTGGCTGCCACCAGGTATCATCCAGTGCCTCCACAAGGACTGGAGGATGTGCCAAACCCTTAATCTGCAGTATCTGCTGGTCCAGTTGGGAAATTCTGGCAACTTTGCAGAACACAGTGATGTTCCCACCTCCACATATCCAGTTTCCTCTTCCTTGAATTTCCCCTGGCACCCCCTATCTTTTCCTAAGACTACTGCTTTTGTCCAGCTAAGTCTCTGTGGCAGATGCTGTTGCCACAGGCAACCTGGACCACACCCCCTGCCACTTGAATGGCCTTCTGCTAACCTAGGTTGCGACATTCACGTCCTCTTCTTACTCCTATGCCTTGCTTCTACCTGTTTTGCTGCTCTGCTGTAAATACCTCTGTCTTCCCGCTCCTTCCCACTTACTACATCTTTGCTAGCAGGAGCTACGCCACCTGTCAGCATCCTTCTAGATGCAAACGACATGGCCTCGCTTGAAATCACGGAAGTGAAGAAGAATGGATTTTTTATGTGCTTGAAAAGACTTGCTGGCTTCAGACATAGCTGGAACAGCGAGGTTGTTAGGCTCGGCCTCTATCTCTTCATCCTTATTTCTCCTGTGTTGGCTTCACTTGGGGACTTTCCATGGAGGCCTCAGGCATCACCAGTTTCTATCCTCTTTATACAAAGGATATTCCCAGCAAAAGGAGAGAAGTGCATCCTCTTTGTCTTATTTTATAAAGATGTATAAGACAAAAGCTCCAAACAGAAATGACGGAGAGGGGAAAGCGACTGATCTGATTTGATCACTGCATTCCACATGCATGTGTCGAAATGTCACACTGTGCCCCTTTAGAGTTTGATGGCAAAAGTTGGTGAAAACCATCTTGGATTTAAATTATTTTTATTTTTAAAAAATTCTTAGATTCCCGGGAAGTGAAATCCAAACCAAGAAGCTGACACTGGTATGATTCACAGATGACTTGGGTTTCAGACCCACGCGCCTGCATCGTGCTTGTGTGCACAGCGCTCGCTACAGGGCTCTAAACTGCCCAGCTTTGGGCAATAGTCTCCACAAGCAGGATACAGACCCAGCCATCATAGCCAGGCTCTCCTTCATGCTACTTTCCATAGCTACATTCCCGCTGCTCACAGCTGGCAACTGCCAATCTGTTCTCTAGCTTTTTAGTTTTGTTAAAGGGTGTTACCTTGGGCCTGTCACTTGGTTTTGTGTTGTCTGTGAACTAACAATGGTTTTCACATTTTACAATCAAAAGAAAGCAAAGGAATATTTTTGACACATTAAAATTATACGACAAGTATTAACGATCATAAGTAAAATTTCAGCTGAGCACAGCCCCTTGCAGTCATTTACATGTGGTCCACGTTGCCTGGGTTCATCCTGGGCTAGCAGAGCTGAGGCAGGGTGGCAAAAGTGAAATATGGATTCCCTGGCCTCTTACAGAGAACGTTTGCTAATTTCTATGCTAGGATATCCTCAAACTGCACATTGACTGGTCAACGTGTGCGTGGGCTGACTAAATTAAAACCATCACTTGCCAAGAACGAGCTCTCTCCACTCACCCCCAGGGCTGTTGAGCTCTTTATTTTTATTTTTATTTATATTTATTTATTTTTGTTGAGCTCTTTATTTTCTTGTGGAACTGGGGATTGAACTCAGGCCCTTGCGCTTGCCAGGCAAGCACTTATTCCACTGAGCCATCTCCCCGGCCCCGAGCTCTTACTTTATGCAGGATGTCATCTTACCTAGTGCTCACCATCAACCCTGCCCCTAGTGTGTGCAAATGGCAGGCCACAAAATCAGGTGCACAAGAAATACACTTTACTTTTCTGTAACTCATGATGTTTGGAGCCTTCTTTCTTCCAAATGGCAAAACCAATTTCAGGCATTTTGAAACTTATCTCACTTGCTGGGGTAGCGTTTCCATTTCTGGGCATAGGGTATTTGGTCGCTGAAGGGCAGCGCTTCCCACTGATCTCTGCAGAGAAGCCCAGTGTTGGGCCAGGGTGTGCCTCCCAGCCCGGGCCCCTCTTTGTTCCTGTGCCCCAGGCTGTCGCCCTCAGATTTGCCTCAGCCTCACGGAGGCTGGTGCTATGCCAGGTGTGGAGCTCAGCGACTTCTGACATGCACTTTCTGAGCCAGCAGGTCTTGCATAGGTTCAAAAGTTTGCATTTCTAATAAGTTCTCAGTTGCTGCTACTGGTGCTGCAGCTCGGGCCACACCCTGAGAACCACTGTCCCCCACCATGTCAGGGTTCCCGGAGCTCAGAGTCAGCTCAGGCCTGCCTTGATACATACAGCTCTGATCTGTCCCCTCTGCTTCTCCAAAGTCACTTCTTCACTACCCCCTACTGCCTTCCCTCCAACCCTGGCCTCCACTGGAGTTATTATAGTCCCTCTTTCATACCGTCTAGGAAGCGGTTCCCAAGCTTGATTGTACCGTGGAACCACTTACAGACTTTTGTTTTTCTTAAGAGAATGAAAAATAGTGTTAAGAAAAAGCTAGAAACAATACAGAATTTCACTAAACAAAATGACAAGAATTCAACAATGGTTGCTATATTACATATTGCTATCTTCAAATTAGTTGTTCAGACTATCAGATATAAGCATGCAATATTCTGGAAACAACCCAAATGTCCATCAACTGAAGAATGGATTTAAAAATATGTGGTATTTTTATGCAATGAAGCAAGCATTACTCAGCTATAAAAAAGACAAACTTGAGGCTTTTATAGGTAAATAGATGCAATTAGAGACCAATACTCATATGTGAAATAAATCAGACCTGTACATGTAAACATTGTATTGTCTCCGTGGTGTAAGAACCTGAAAGAGCAAATAAAATCTGAAAGGCACAATAGATATTGTGAAAGAGAAAGAAACTGTTCAGAGGGAAGGAACAACTTGGATGGGGGAAAGGAGAAAAGAAAGAGAGAAGGGAGGGAGATAACGCGCAGGTACACAGGGTAGCTCAGGTAATTGTACCGATGATGTTTGATGGTCTATTGAAAGGACAATTTTTAAATTTTCAATCCTGAACCCCTCTTCCCTCCTCACAGATCTCAACCCAATGTGCTGGGATGTGGCTTGCCTACTGGGGTCTTGAAAATGCCACGATGTTCATCATGTGCAGTGTGCAAGGCTCAACGTCCCTGCCGGTGGGCAGCAGTTTTCCAAGGAGGGGAGCCCACACCAGTGTCACCAGTGTCACCTGGGGACCTGTTAAAAATGCAGATTCTCTTTTGAAAATAAAATAAAATAAACATAATCCCCCCCCCAAAGAAAAGAAATGTAGATTCTTAGGCTCCGCATGACAGCTCAGCTCAGGAGTTCTGGACATGAATCTGAACAGGATTTTTGGTGATTCTCCCAATTAGATCAGTAAAAAAGACTGGCAGAGATCCCACAGCTGTCCTAGGCTTGGTACCTTCCCCCTACTTTTCCTGTTCCCTAGCCTAGGAAAGCTTTTTAGTTTAGAGGATAAAGGAAACTTCTATAACAGTCTGAACTGCTCTAAGTGTATTGCCTTCATACACTTCTTCGAGGAGGGAGCAGGAGGGAGGCTTGTGCAGCTGTGAAGTGAGGTGCGGACTATTTCACCCTCTCCTTGCTATACACAAGCGGTATCTAGAATCCTTCACATAGGGAAGGGTTTTGAGGCCACAAACGAGCCTAAAAAAAGCCATCGATCAACACCTCACAAATGCATTCTCTATACATTACCTTATGGTAGGTAGTTTCAGGTGTTCATGGAGCCTGAGGTCCAAGGGTTTGTAATCTGTTTGGATTCTATATTTCAAAGGTATGTGTGTGAGCTCGCAAGAATGCAATGTTAAAAATTCCCCTGCTTTTTGGTCTTGCTCATGTTCCAAGTTATTCTTTTCTATCCCCAGGACTGTGGGCTTTGGTCAACAACGCTGGAATTCTTGGAGTCACAATGGATGGGGAACTCATTCCCATGACTGAGTACAAAAAATGCATGGAGGTGAACTTCTTTGGACCCGTAGGAGTCACGAAGGCATTTCTACCTCTTCTTAGGAAATCCAAGGGGAGGCTGGTGAACATCAGCAGCATGGGAGGTGAGTCCGCCTTGCCGCCTGTGGTCACAGGGCACCCATCACAAGGCGTGTCGTGCTGCATTCTTTGTGCACTGGAAAAAAAAAGGAAGGCACGCAGAGGCTGGGTTGGTTCGGCATGAGTCAGCTTGGATATCTATTGTTGACCTTGCTACAATGAACCTGCTCTCTTCTTTCAAATCCTTTCACGCAGCAACTCTTATCTATCTTCTTAACACATCTGTTAATTACTGGGCATTATGGACTTGTCAAGTACCTTCATCCTACAGCTGCCAAAATAAAGCTTCCTAGGTTTGAACAGGAGGGCTCACATTGCAGGCAGCCTGCTTTCAGCCGTCTCTGAACCCAGCACTCTGCTCCTCCCTCAATAGGAAGATGAATAGGCAGATACCTTCCCTCTGTTCACACTATTGGAATCCCATGTCTGCCTACTAGCACTGACCATGGGATCATTCTCAGTGTCCTGTATCCTGTTTGGCACAGCTTAGGACTGGACACGACACTTTATGAATTGTCTTTCTCCGTGTTACAGAACAAGCAGTCAGCAACCTGAGCCGAAGTCTTAGTGATCTTCCTTTCTATAAACAATGACCATGGAGGGGCGAGCTCCTCAGGGCCTTCCGCGGCTGAGGAGAACACCCATGGGGTTGCCTTTTGGGTCTCCGCATCAGCGACAGGGAAATTGAAAGAGTGGGTGCTAGTTGTCAGGATCCTGACTTCAAGCAGACAGTTTCACTGAGTTAGTTGGCTTCCAGTGATATTTTTAAAAATAAGGGCTCAACTAATTGTTTTGCTTTGTTTGTTCATTGAGGGGTGTGTGTGTGTGTGTGTGTGTGTGTGTGTGTGTGTGTGTTATAATGTGAGCAACAATATTAGAAGAAATTTCTTGTTGGGAGGTTCTTTGTCTTTCTCAGATAGTAATTGCTGGTGACTATTGTGTGTTTTTAGATAGAGCCATTGATTGGCTTGAGGCACCACCAAAGGAGTGGGGGAAGAAGGGGAGAAAGAAGGAGAGAGAGTGAGATTTATGTAGGGTGGTTGGGAGCAACAGCTACTCTACTTTAACTTACATGAGAGCTCCAAGTATTTCCAATTTTTTGGAAATGAAACAAGTAGATCCCAGGAAGCCATCCAGTTGCATTGTCTAACCTTTGTCTTTGTTCTGAAGTTGGCTTTTATGTTTCTCACCTCGGTAGAAGCTTACCTTCTCTCTGATGCCTGGTACTGTCTGGCTCTTTGGGCAAATTCTCACACACTGATTGCTACATTTATCCAACAAATATTTATTGAAATGGCTAATCACTGCCTTCTCCTCAACATGTTGACAAGAATGTTGTTCTTTTTCCTCTCTTGGCTCTTTCTTTGACCTTGAGCAGCTCATTTGTTCATAAGATCTTATTTTAGTAGTCAGTAGCAGGCACAGCATATGCTGTAGTAGGCCTAGGCTCCTGCTTGCAGCGGCAACTCAATAAATGAAGACAGGCAAGCATGTTAGTAGGTCAAAAATGAAAAATATACGAGTGGATGGATGAATGAGAAGCTTATAGTACAAAGAATGCCCTTCTGCACATCCTCAACTTGGCCTCCGTGCCTTATCCAAGCTGTGCATTCTTCTTCCCCTAAATGAAAACTCTAAGTGTTAAATCATACATCTCACTCCTATTTTCCAGCCCTGCCTGCATGGATTCTTTACACTGTGCCTTACTCTTCCATTTGCTTGGACCAACATCAAGTCAGTGTTGCTGCTGATGTCCAAAGCTTGCTCTGCTGACTCCTTTCTGCCATTATTTCGGGTCTTTCACATTTTAGAGCTCAAACTTTCTTGATTTTGTTCCTTTCCATGTCTCCCCTTATGATGTATGAATTCTTCCCAGTGCCAAACAAATGTTATGATCATAAATGGTGTTTGCTGATCAGAGTGTTTGTTTTCTTGTTGTGCTCACCTGTCTTGGGCTCCCACAAGCAAACCAAAGCCAGCCCATCGAGCTCTTTGCTTCACTCTTGTCCAGCCTTTGATTCTTCTCCCCACCAACTTCTTTTCTCTCTGAGTTTCTCCTTCCACTCCATAGCTCTTGATCATTGCTGAGTCTTTATGCAGCCCTAGATCCCTTCCTTTCTCTGACAGGGGTAGAGAGCCGGTAGGGTAGGGCTTTTTGCTTCACTTCCCAGTTGAGAGAAACTTTTGGAACCCCAAAGTCATGTGGCCTCTCTAAGCTTTAACATTCTCCCCATACTATGGAGGAAATAAAACATTGGCCATACAGAGGTGTTCTGAGGCTTAAATGAAACAATCTACATACAGACCAAGCATGGTGTTCATGGGTAGGGGCAGATAAACCAACAGGTTCTCCCCTGTCAGACTTGACCACATCTACTTGGGAGATTTTATCTTTATAGTAGCATGTATCATCCCTCCTACACAAACGACAGAGCTCTTAAACTTCAATATCAGCAAGGCAGATGGATAAATATTTAACCAAAGATCAGAAAACTTCAGACACAACTCTTCGATTGTATGTGGAAAAATTTTCTGCTTGTGAGGTCTAAGATCCTTTTTATGGCCAGTTTTCTTCATAGGGAATCATAGAGTAAGCATTTATGTCCAGCCATAAGTCCTTCTGAAGTGACATGGGCCTTGGGGGTTTTGGTCAGTAGTGGTTTGAGGTTCACTCTTCTGGTGACCTGGGGAAGGTCACCTCACATATCTACCCCTCTAGTTCATCTTCTGTCAGATAGGGCCTGACGTAGCACTTTGGCAGTACAGTTTTGAGAGCCCTAAATTGTGGAAAGTAGCATCTCTCAATCTCTGTCCTTTGGGTTGTTTTTTTTTTTTTTTGGTGGTATCAGGGATAGAACTCAGGACCCTGTTCTTGCCAGGCAAGCACTTACTCCACTGAGTTATCTCCCCAGACCCTTACTATCTCTACAACCCCTTCTGTCCTTTTGATATTTTTCAGAGATAGATAGTTCTGTCTCATGCATTGTGAGGCTTGGTGGTATCGATACTCTTGGCTCACTAAGTTCTAGCAACACCATCTACCCATCTTGACAAACTTTCAGGCATTGCCGTTGAGTAGTCTCAGATTATTCTTAGCTATTGATTTAAATGCATAGCAGGCTCTGAGTACCTGTTTTGTCTGTGTTCTGTATCTGTAACACAAACACCAATGCTAGGTACTTTACAAAGAAAAGTGGATTTAGCGAGAGTTTCCAAGCAGTATGGCACCAGTGTTGCGGGGGGGGGGGGGTTGTCCCCAAGATCAGTTGCTGTGTGTGCAAGAGAGTTAGCGGAGACAGCCAAACCTGCTTCCTAACTATACATACTTGTGGGAAATAATCCAGCCTACAAGACCTACTCCATTTCTGTGAGGCAGTATTAATCTATTCATGAGGGTAGAGACCCCAAGATATTATTTCCTCCCCCTAGAACCCAGTTTTTAAAGAGGCCACCACTCTAAAACACTAGGGACTACATTTCTAGCCTGTGAACTTTTGGGGGATAAACCACATCCAAATCATAGACCATCCTAGCAAATGGGACTTCTGTAAGAGGGATAGTAATAACAGTTGCCCAACACACAAAGCTGTTTAAAATACTTCAAAATTGCTTTAAATCACAGTAAGAGATTCTTGCCTGTCTACAAATTAAAATAATCCAGTAGAGTTCAAGGGTCTGTTTTTATACTTCCAATAGAGTTCAAAGTTTAACTTGTGTCACCCCAGAATTGACTTGGGGGTTATTCCCAGACTTCTTGCAAGCTGGCTGCCTTAAGGGAATCATCTTGGCAAATGATGATTTGCCAAGTTTTTGATCTGCTTGCTGGCATGACAGAAAACCCCAAACTGCAATTTTCTTTCCCAATATTCTCCAGAACTATTGTGGAGCCACAGGAAAAGGAGACAGCAAGATTGAGTTAACTTTTTGCCAGGTTGAGTTTGATGTCTATGTGCCTGAAAACATTTAATCCTAACATCTTCAGGATGCGGACATCAATTCACTTTTTAGATCAAATTCTCTATTCCATGTTGCTGCAGCTAATAAGTGATGGAGTTAGGGACTGAAACGAAATCTACCCATTTTCCCTCAAGCGCTATATTCTTCCCACCTCTCCAGGCCATTGAACGGAGTGTATCAGGCAACTAGCGGACATAAAACATAAATCTGAATTCTGCTCTGTTTAAAGGATGACTGGGAAGGGTTAGCAATTTAGAGCTATCTTGGAAACCAGTGCTTCTCCAACACACAAATGTGTAAAACCTGTGTTAGTTGATCTAGGATGAACCTAAGTTCTATCTCTGGCTTCTAAGGGAGGCCAGGGCTACTTGTATCTGGCTCACTCTTCCAAGTGCTAGCTGCCTGAGAATCATGAGAAAGAGGCTTCTAAAAACATATGTTCTGGAAATCAAAACCATAATAAGACACCACATCTACTCTGATCACTATGCAAAACAAAGCAAAACAGAAAACAATAAAAGTTGGGAAGGCGTGGCAAATCAAAATCCTCCCACACTGCCGGTGGGAATATAAATGGTGCAGCTGCTATGGAAAGCATTCGACACTTCTTCAATAAGTCAAACAGAGCACTAGCATGTGCTCTAGCAAGTCCACTTCTAGGTATTTATCTGATGGAGTAGAAAACAGGTGTCCAAGCTGAAACTTGTAGTGGGTGTGCATGGCGATGGTATGCACAATAGCCAACGGTCGAAACAACTCAAGTACCCACCAGTGGATTCTTGGGTAAGTGAAGTGTGGCACATCCACATAGGGCGTATTTTTCAGGCCCCAAAATGAAGGAAGCACTGATTTATTCTACAGTGTGGATGGGTCTGAAAAACATTTTGCTCAGTGAGAGAAGACAGACATGAATGGCCACATATTGTATGATTCCATTTATATGAAACATACAGAATAAACAGACTCACTGAGTCAGAAAGCAGAATCGCTGGCTACTAAAGGAATGGTGGCTTGATGAGCACGGGGTGATAAAAATATCAAGTAGGTAAGGGGGATGGTTGTGCGCCATCAAATATGGTACATGCCACTGAGTTGTACCCTTTAAAATGGTTACAGTGGTGAACTA